AAAGGTGGAAATTCTACAACAACCTCGCTAGTTGGCACAGAACCTGTGGTGATGAGGGTTGTGTAGGTGGTTGGGACAGTACCAGTAGTAATCGTGGTTGTGGACAATGGTGGTTCTTCGACAATAACAGTTGCTGTTACATTTCCAGTTTCAGTTGGAGTTATGGTGTAAGTTGTTCCAAATGTTTCGGTCCAAGTTGAGGTAATGGTGGTAGTTTGAACAACACATGTTGATTGTTCACTTGGTGAATACGCTGGTAAGTTATCGGATGTGAAAATTGAACCATCTGGCTGTTGTACAGTGAATCTAAGGGCAGCGTTCGTCAAATAGTTTCCGTAGACGAGCTTCAAAGGGTAGTAACCTTTCTGTAAAGTAACTGTATATTTGGGGGTCATCGGGATGATGGCTGTCATTACTGGTGTATCACCTACAGATTCACTTATAGTTCCACAACAATCGAAATCCTGCCTGGTTTGGAGATACAAAGCTACCGCATCATTAACGTTGGTGAAAGAAAATTCATAAGAACCTGTTTGTGATGCATAAAAATAACCGTTAATTCTCAATCCAAAATTATTCACGTTGACAGTTTTTCCATAAAGTTCTTGCATCGATGGAGAGGTATCACCACCAACACCTGCTATGAAACTGAAAGTAAGGTTTTTCACATTGTTCATTTCAACTAATGTTGGCCTTTCATTGATGGCAGTAAGAAAACTGAGACAATAAGCTTCGGAATCCGGGTCTGAAGGATCGTAAGAACAGGCTTTATATTCATTGGCAACATATTCAACATGGAATCCGTTGTTAACACCTTCGATGTTACAGGAACCAACGTTGATGGCATTCACTGACCAAAGCAAAAATATTGAAGCTATCAAGTTGGACAACATTCTTTATTTTCATCATTTGGGATTACTGTTCCCATTTATACCAAAATCGGTTCGTATTACAGAGTCTCAAAATTTATTTTCTTTCATTTTATAATTAGAAATTCAACAATTAGTATACTGATTTCCCAATCGAGTTATACGAAGCACTAATTAAGTAACTATTCAATTTTATATGATGTACATCAACCTGCACAGTCAAATCTGAAATTCGATTGATTTGCACATTGTTCCTACAACAAAGTCGCCACCTCCTGATATCCCTACAGGAGTCATATTTTATTCAAGAAATTAGAGATATTGTTTTTGGGGGATTCAGTTCAGATACGATACATTTTTGTGTGATTTCGATCTTTAGTAGAGGTTGGTCCAATAGTTCATTTTCCGCTTGCAGAATCTAATTGCAAATTAATTTTCAGTTGGCTGATTCTAACCAATGACCACAATTGGGCCTGTATTCCTGCGTGATGATTTTCGGGTTTGTTTCTGACCGTGGAAAGGAGTATCAGAAATTGTCTAGATTGGGGATTTTACAACCTCAATGGAGTAATTCCTCTTGAATAGAGATTTTCGACCTCTGTATTCAGATTGGTGGAAATAAGATGGCCCTTTTCCAACGAGAAAGTCTTATATGCATATTCTTCGAATATTCTGGTAAAAAATATTGCTTTTTCACTAATTGAGGTTCACATAACCCAAATACAGTAATTTCCTGTCCTGACCAGAAAATACCAAGTATTCTCGCACATATTGTTGGAAATGAACTGAACGCAGCTAGACAATAGAGCCTTATATGCCTAACTTGATTACAACCAGATGCGGCTATTCTTGCAATTCTAGTTATGGATTCAAATTGCTCAATGAATCAGTAAACACAAACCAAAATCAATTTATTTGTTTTGGCTCCAACAGCATATTACTAACTTTGAAAGACGATTCCCAAAATAAGACGATATTGGATGACGTTGGATCTTGTTTTGAACAACAAAGAACGCCAGAAAGAGTTGAAAATTTATCGTAGAGTGCATGAAATAATTATCGGCATTATCCAAGTAAATCACAATGTGAGATAGTATTTCTTTTACAAATTTTTGCAATTTTTCCCTAATCAAGCTTGAAAATTTTTTGAAGTCAAGAGAATAATACGAAAAATTGTCAGCATTGTGACCCATTTGAGCTTCTTTCAAAACAGAAATATTTTCGTAAAAAATAGATCAAGATAGTCTTCCAGACTTTTAGGAATTATTTTATGAAATAGCCACTGAGACGGAAAAGATCATCTGGAATTCTTTCGGAACCTAATGTAGTTCAACTGGCTAGATCACTAGCTGGCACAAAAATTTCAAAGGGAAATCTTGCTTATCAAATCACAAATGCGTCCTGTGATTATACAGGAGTTTTCTTTTACCATGAAAATTATTACACTTGATTACGGCAGCCAACTGATGTTACTCGTCAATTCAAAATAAATTTCCGCGAAGTCTTATGTCAATCAATCTCAATCTGATTGTGAAAATGTATCTGTCCATGCTATCAGTTGTCTTTCTGCTGAAATATTGTAATCGAATTTCATTAATCGAAGCCAACAAAACCATAGAGAATTATCTTCTTGACTTTTCAAAATGATACTATAGAAATCATAATCCAATTATTCCTGCTAGGCATCGAATAAATACGGAAACATTCCAAGTTAATGCGCAAGTCCTGCAGATATCAATTTTCCCTGGTCACTTTCGTTAACTGGAATGATAGTCGTGTATTCTAAATATAGTGTGGTGTTCATGTTTCCTGGATACGCCGATAAGGCGAAGAAATCAAACAAAAATAATAGAACAGGATCTGTTATATGCAGTTCTGCGACGAACCATTGATCGTATCTCCCAAAATGTAAACATTTACTTAAAACTACAAGAATTCCGTTTCAAATGGTAACAATATAATCACCAAGATAAGCTGCTTCCTTCTGAGAGTCTTGCAAGAATTTGTGAGGTGTTACCATGAAAAGGAATAGTAAGCGCATCAGAATTGTGTGGCGGTCACATCATAATAGTCAATGAGCAAAAAATTTTATCAAACACTGTCCACGTCTTTTTATCACTGTTACTTGCTTTTTTTTTATGGAGGTAATGCCATTTCGAGACTCGGCTAGGATTGAACTAGTATGTCATGTCAATTCTCAACAATAACAATCGGGGCCAGTTAAATCTCACTCTTTTGTAATATTTTTTCCATTGTTCCTGGTTCGACGGCGGAATTTTCATTCCGCAACTTGAACAGTCAGTTCATCAATACGAATTTGAATATACGAGTGTTAGTTACATGACTTGAGCAAATATCGGATTTTCATTATTGCTCATGGTCTCTCAAATTTTCAAGAATCTACCAAAGCTCCAACTTCCACGTGTTGCTATGTTCTGCTGTCCAACCGATTAATCGTTGATTATTCGAAATTCCCTCATTGACTCAGAGCCTTTCGCCTTGTTATTATCTGAGAAGATTAATGGCGACATAATGAAAATAGAGTAAGTGTGAATAGTTAAGGTTCACACCTGAGATCCCACGAGTAGCTCACACGACGGTCTCTGGGGGTTCTGGGCGCCATCATATGCGAGAGGAATTTCATCTTTACGATTCCCCATTATGATTCTCCATGAAATTGAAACTGGAAAACAAATGTTCCTGTCAATGATTAACTCTAATGAATTGCTCCCAAGTGAGTGGTATCGATTGCACATCATAAACAACGGCCAATCGTAGCTAATTTGACGCGAAAATTGAGAATAATCGAAGTTTCAATACCCGTACTTATTAGCTGCTCATATTTTGTCATAAACAGATGAAAATCAAGGGATATTAACCGCCTTTTGATCAGATCACAGATTTTCATTAATTCCTTGTTTTATTTGGCCACTTCATCTTAATTTCTACCCTCATGTAACAAAAATTCAAGTGGACATCAAGAATTTAGTATTCTTAAAATTTGTTCACCCAGTAATCCAATATCTACCGAGAGGTTAAGTCTTTGGAAGTTGAATAATTCCTCAGTATCACCAGGGTTCATACTTTCGAAAAAAAAAGGGAGATTGGCCCCTTGTATGTGAGTTGGTCAAGGCACAAAAAAATATAATATTTTTTTTTCAAACAACTGCGATTGTTTATTACAAACTGTAAATACCTATTGGGATTCCGTAAATGTTGAATGACTTAAAATTAACTCAAGTTGGAAAGTTTTCTCGTAAGCACAAATAGTGATCCTGTGGGAACCTGCAATCTCAAAAAATATTTATTGCCGGAAAAATATTTGACACCCTTGAAAATTGAATAATTCCCGACTTTCGTCGGAGATGTTTTCCTAAATTCCCAAAGTTTTACCCTTACGATGAAAATTTGAAAACTTTAGTCATAAAATGAGAATGTCCAATCTTCAATTTGGAAACTTTGCTTATAGAAGAAGGAGATCTTGCAGGCAGTTCAGATAAATTATTCGCCATCAATGAAAACTCCATTTGTAATAATATGATTTTCCAAACATTAAACTGAATGTTGTTTAACATTGTAAGAATTTAAAGCTGGACAGAAGCTCATATATCCATCGAGACACTTGAATATTTTACTCGAATACCATGGAGAGCCCAAAAGTATTGGTCATAAAAGCGAAATCCAATCCTTAAATAGGTAAGTAAAGTCAAAGGTGTAGGAAAGTTGGATGGTTTTTCCATCTTTGCCACTTAATCTGGTATTCTATATGTGCAAAATGTGAGGAAGGTGAGACAGTATCAACATTTACCTCTATATATACTTTCAATCCTTGTCCCACTTATTCGGACAACCCAATTGCATCAAATTTTCCAAATAGCCCAGATGACTTAGTGAATGTAGGATCTGTTTCGATCGCTTCCATAGCTCCCTTTTTTTTTAACTCAGGAGGGTCATCTTGTCAAAACACTATTGAGTTTTCGTTTTACACAAATTCAATACTATTTGGATAGTTCATTTTGAGCAATGCTTCT